AACCAATTGATGTTAATAAAAGTGGCTATATTCTCAAGGCTAGTTATTAAAACCACGTCCATGTTTGGGCCCATTTCATGGACTTGGATATGAAGGGATGACTTGGTTCTTGGGCTGGGCTCCTTAGGTATGATTAAGGTAAAATCACATAAATGCACGATTTAAGATATTATAACCTTTAAAATTTTCTATCATTGAAAAAAATTATAAAAATTCTCCCTCTGATCTATTCAAGATCCCTATTACCTCTCGGAACGTCCATCGCATCTTAGATACATCTCTCCTATTAAGTAGTGTATCATTTGCAATGTATTGGACATCCCCCTGTTGCAATATTTAAACTTCCAATTTAGTCGATGCATAAATTAAACCTTATATTTTTACGCATTATCAATCACCACACATCTATATCAACCAACATCCCCCTATTACAATCACCAACACCACTGCTAACCAGTATCGTCAAGCCACTCATTAATATCAATCATTACCTCCACAATCGATACTATATTTTCGACATCACTAATGAGTAGAAAAATTTATTTTGCAATCAATAATAATTTAATTTTATATTCTTACTCAAGAAACAAATTGACATGGTAGATTGATTGTCAAAAATTATTTATATCAAATGTTTAGGCAAGATCATCGATTGACAATTGGATTGTTCAAAATCAAATCAAAATTGATAATTCAAATAGAAAAAAGTTATCGTAACGAGTTATTGATTTAGTATTTTTAATAATAATTTTAATTTATTTTATCATCAAGTTATCAATTTTTCGCAATTTTAAGTTTTTTCTTAAACATGTTAATCGATAATGCGATAGTAAATTAATAAATCATATTTATATCATTCGATTTATAAAGTCTTGATTTAGTGTTTAATTTCATACTTATATATATGCTGTCCCAAACTCTCGATTATTCTATAATATGTCAGTATTTGCTTTTGAGCAAGATGTAATATGTTAATTCATTTGCATGATTCATTTGATTAATCACTTCGTTCTAAGTAATTTCTAATGATTTTTTTTGTCAAATCTTAACGGTTAAACCAATAACCAAACCGATAACAGTCAATACTGATAAGTCAGTATCTTATAAATGATTATGTAATAATTTACTATATCTATAAACTGCTAACTGATAAATCAAATCGATACACTTTAAAATCAAACCGAAGTTGACTGATATGTCACCCTAATTCACAAAAGTTTCTAAAAAATTCTTCGTATGAATTGGCAAACGCCTTGTGAAAGTGGGCTCTATTTTGTTTTTTGGAACATTTGATTTAAAATTTTCCCAAAGAAGCAAGAACTAGATTTCTTAGTCGTATATCTTGTTTAAAATAGTTATTATATTCTATTTATAAAAATTAATTATATAAATTCTATCTAATATTTTAAATGTTTGTCATATATCAAACTATTATGAGATAAATTACATTTATAGTTAATTTTATAAAATGTTAAATATATAAAATTTAATTTACTCTTTAAAAGTGAATATGATAAATAATTTGAAACGAAAGAAAAATATAAATTACTGTCGACTCAATCTCAATCTATAAGTAGAAAAAAAAGTATTTTCTCTATTCAATACTAGTTGATCATTTTTATTTCTACACGTATATTAAAAAATCATAAATAAAGAGATAATTGTACTAATTCACCCCTTAAAAGATTTCTTGAAAATTTTATAAACAATTGTGAACACTTTCAAAAAGAACTAATTGCAAGGGTATATAGAAAAATATTAATTAATATTTTCTTATTTTAGTTAGTTGAACAACTAATACGAGACAATTATATTTAATAAAATAATCAACTAATATAAAATGGGGAAAATAATTTGATCACAAACACTTTTTTTTCTACTTTTTGACAAATATAGAACTTTTTGCATCAATTTAAGATTTTAGATTGAATTTATGTGGTGAAAGTTGAAACATATGTATTTGTTTTTCTTTAGTCTTTCTTTTTCTTTTTGTTGTTTTTCTTGGGGGACCAAAACACAAGCAAGCAAATGTCAAAGGTCACATTGACGACCAATGAATTATTGAATAATTTAGGAATTAATATTTAAAAAAGGTTATTGAAATATAAAAATTTAACTAGCAAAATCACTCAATTTTGTTTTGTTTTTACGGAACAGGGTTATTATTCAAAATAGCTTATATATACATTTTAATTATGTTTGAAATCAAAATTGCTCTTGCCGTCTATATTTTGAATCACAAATACCCTAAAACGTTATTTCTGCCATTTGAATTGACATCGCAGTTCAACTCGACAGTCCAACATGATAAAAGTACTTCTTCTCAATAGTATTGTTCTTTCTCCTTGTTCATCCTATCACAAAAGGAAAATCAAATATAATTCTTCCATTGTTCTGGTTTGAGTTGTTATTCAAATTTTGAATCTCCAACTTCAAAGTGTGTTGAAGTTTGTTTGAGGTTATGATTGCGTGTTGAAGAATCAAGCTCATTGTTTGAATATTGGGATCACAGATTCACAAAATTAATTTTTAAATTTTCATGCTTAGTTCTTTCATATATATAATTTTTAAATATTTTTTTGGTATTTCAACTCATCCCTATTTTCAAATATCAATCTTCAAACTATGAAATCAAGTGTTAACTCTCAACTTCCAGCTTCAATTGCAATATCCATGCAATTTTTAGTATTTAATTAAATGTCTTCAAATTTTTACATTTTAAAATCCAACAAAAGCTAGAAATTTATCACCAACAAGCTTTCAAATGAGTAGCTATTTTCGAGTTTTAACACAAAAAGAATGATTTCAACAGTTCTTCAACATCTTTCAACCCTGAAAACTAAATTTCAGCCTCAGATTCGATGATATCAGTATCCAAACAATAAACTCGATCACTCAGCACATAGCTACTACCTTAAACCTGTTCCATCCCCATTCTCCCCTTCCATTGCCATCCCTACAACTTACTAGTCTAACTCCATGACACCAAAGATGTATCAAGGCTCAAATAATTCACTAAAGTGATGAGACCTTGAAAACTATTTTTTCTAACTCTGAGTTCAACTGTTGAATTTATGTTGATCATCTCCACTTAAATAAATTAATTTTTTAATTTGTATTTTACATATGCAGATATTTTATCTATCCTCGATATTTTTGTTCTTTGCATGCATAAGGCTTACGAGTCTCAACTAATTTATTACTCTCTCGATTTCAGATTAAGTGATTTAGTAAAAAAAATTAAAATTTTATTTGTATTATATAAATTGAGACATAAAATATATTTAAAATAAAGGATATAGAATTATGTAGAAGAAGAAAATATGAAATAACTATTAAAACAAACATCTTATGCTTAATTATATTCCTTCCATCCTCAAACGTAAAGACAACGAGATTCAACAATTTCTTTAATTATTTACATTAGTTTTAAATTTTATATCAAGTCAAAATCAAATAAATAAATTAAAATAAAATCGAAAATATAGTTCGAAGTGAGAAAAAAGAAACATATTTATCATGCTTGTTTCTATAAGTATTTTTCATGGTATGAACAATTTTGTAGATATACAGCGCCGCACTAATTGACAAGTCATTTTCAAGGTCTTTTTGAGAAGGAAATAAGTCTATTTAAAAAATTTCCTAATATGGAATTACCAAAAAAAATAAAATTGAATAAATATTAAAAATTCAATATTTTATATTTGATCGTCTTTCTCCCACCCTCAACAGGTATTTTATTCACGATCTCATCCCGCTATTGGCACCTCCAACATTCTATTTCTCTATCCCCTTATCCCTCGAAATTCTAATTTTTACTTTTATATTATTTGTCTAATAATATATTTTATTCAGTTATCAAATAAGAAAATCACTTATTTTGCATGAATACTTTTAAATAAAAATAAGAAACACACATTCATATATCATATAAGCAAACACTCATTTCCATCTTGAATAAGAGCTATTTTAGTCCCACAAAGGCCTAGAAGTTTCTTGAACATTTTGTATGTTTGGATTTTGATTTGGAGTTTTTAATACCTCTAATGCATCACATTCAATTATATAGTCCCATAAATGTATTTGGGAATATTCGATATCATTGTTGAAAGATGCTCCATAAATCAACTCCTCCATCTTATTACACAAAGTTGTACCTCTAAATTCCATTCTTGAATTTGAATTTATATTGATCATCTCCACCTAAATAAATCAATATTGAAATGTTAGTACTAGTTTGAGTTTGAAATAATATACCCTAAAAAATATGAATGGAGGAGGCACTTCGAAGGTAAGGACGTATAAAATCGAATTAAATCACAATTTAAAAAAAAAAGCTCATCTAGTAGTTTGATTTGATTTGGTATTAAAAAAAAACTCGACTATATTTGAGTTGGTTTGGTTTTAACAAAAAAAAACTCGAGACCAAACAAACCCCACATTATACAGATAATTTTAAGATCTTATTTTAAGGGCGTATAAAATCGAATTAAATCACAAACTGAAAAAAAAGCTCATCTAGTAGTTTGATTTGATTTGGTATTAAAAAAAAACTCGACTATATTTGAGTTGGTTTGGTTTTAACTAAAAAAAAACTCGAGACCAAACAAACCCCACATTATACAAATAATTTTAAGATCTTATTTTATTGTACATAAGAATAGTTTTTAAATATTTCTTATACTTATTCATAGTTTTTATCTTTTAATATAATATTTCAAGTTTGAAACTTAGAATTCTTCATGGTCCAGTAAAGATTATAGTCCATATATGTCGGTAGTTATAATAAAACTTAAATCAAATCAAATTAATACTAATACAAAAAGAAAATCAATCCAACACTTAGAATGATCGACAATAATTTTAAAAAACCTGAGGTTGAAAACCCTAAATTTCATTGGTTTGATTTATATATAAATTTGAAAATCCGACACAAATAATTTGATTTGATATTTAAAAAATCCAAACCAACCCGATAATGTACACCATATTCGTATTCGAAGGAACTTTCCTCCATATATCAAATAAAAGACTTGGTACTTTACTCCCCAACTTGCCCAAACAAACACACATTATTGGTTGACCTTCTGATCGACCCTCTACTATATATTTTTTCATGTCATCCAAAATAACTTCAACTTTCGAATACTATATTGTTTAACTTAATTAACTATAAATTTCAAATATCAATCGATTCAGGTCCAAACGTAACATATATACCCTAAAGAAATTAGAAACAATACCTTAGTTTCATGAGAAATTTGTATTGTAGAGTTCCCATTGAGTTCAAATCTTGTAGACACAACTTCAACACCTTCCATATAGCATAATCTAATAATATTATTGAAAGTGGCTATATTATCTAAGCCAATTATTAAAACCACTACAATATTTGGTCCCATTTCATGGAATTCAATTTGAGGGGTTGATTTTTTGTTCTTCTCCAAATTCATTTTCAAACTTTCTATGTAGTTAATTGCTGCATCTATTTGATCTGGCACTGCCATTGTCTCCTGTAACACACAAAATTGTAAATAATTATTAGTTCAAAGAAATATACAAGCATGCATGCAAAACGCGTATTCAGATATTTGAAGTTTATGACTTCTTTAAAATAAATGCAAAAATTTGAACATCTGTCTATGCATGTGCGCGTTAGTCACACATGCTGCATTACTTGATTCGTTACACTGTACTTTCAAAATTTATGAATTCAGAATCGCAAAATACATAAAATATAAGATAAACTACTAAAAAAAGAAATTGTATAACTAACCTTAGAGCTCGAGGTAGAGGCATTAGGAAAAGGGATCAATGAATAAAGTTGATTACATAAATTCTTCATATAATTCCTTCTATTTTTTTCCACATCTTTTCTTTCCAATTTTGGACCTAATTTAGACTTTAGGTTACTTTTCATTTTCCCTTTTGCGTATAATTTTTTCAAAGAAAAAAATTCTCTAAGTCTACCTTTTATAGATTTCTCCAAAGCATGCATCATGTTTTTTTTTTATATAATTTAAAGAAGTATATTTAAATG